ACTAATAACAAAGTTACTAATGGTGGACACTTAATTTGGATAACCCTGTATAGTCTTTTTGATATTAACTATCAATCATATTTATAGTATCTTTTCTCTCTACCTATAGCGTTTTTATCCCTTTTATGTTTTTTTTTTCACTTTATGGCAGACCGATTGTGCAAATCAAATCATTGTGATATGTATCTGTACTGTTAGGCAATAAATGCGTTATTATTTATTACTATTAACTATCAGACTTCAGCAGCAATTTCAAAGACCTGAGAGTTTTTGGCCCTCCAAAACCGTTTGATAAGGTCGGTTTCCAAGCACTTGTGTTTTAGGGAAAGCTCTTCAACGTGATGCCTGAGCTTTAAAATGGAATTATTTTTTTAATTGAAGTGCGGTTCATGTGATACATCATCTTGAAGCCGCATTAACCATTTAGCCTTTTATCATTTAATACAATGGAGTGGCGAACTGCCAAAGCTAGTAGTTTTATACTCGTACATAGTCTCGCTCTAGCTTCAAAATTATTCATCCTAACGCTATGATATTGGAAAGGTCTATCTGAATATGTGTAATAATGAGAACCAAGATTAAAAAAACAGATCGTGACAAATTCTTTAAGACGCAGTACTCAAAATTTTGTGGCATATTCTGAGATAAAAAGATTGATATATTTTAGCGATTTTATGAAGAACTGCTGTGTTTTAAGCGAGTTAGTATTCAATAACGTTCAGGGATATAAATTACTCCTGAGCTTTAAAATGGTGCATTACTATTAAAAATCGAAGTTGGCGTCCATCAGGAATATCGACAGTATTGAAGATTTATTGATTTAAAGCTTAAAGTAGACTTTAATAGATACATCGGATTAGTTTGTACCACTTTCAGAAGAAATTTGGCTAAAAGAATTTACTTAATAAGTAAATGCTTTTCTTCACTACGCCCAAGGTTTGTTATTTTAAATAGGAATTTAGAACATAGTTTGCGATTGATTTGACCAAGCTTTGTTGCTAAAATAACTTGTAACGCTTTATTACATAAATTAACCATGGTATAGTCAACGCCAAACAAAGTGGCGTGCACGTCATCAAGGTGGGTGTGTTGAAAAATTTACATTGTTGCCAAACTTTTTGTAAAATAATAAAATTTATTATTTACATATCTAGGTTTATAAGCAATATTAACCTCAAATGAGAACAAAAATAATAGTATAATAAAATTATAGATCTGTACTTGCATAATCATTAAGTATGACAATTATTGATCAGATGACACTATGAAACTACCATATTTAATTGATAGCTTAAAGGTACTGAATAAAAATCCAAATGGGGTCCTCCAAATTTTATGCATGGTATTTATTTTACAGAATTCATACAGAAAAATGCATTCTAAAATTAGGTAAGCTACTGGTGTAAGCTTTTTCTGTACAATAAAGTTAGTCGGAGTTTCTTTCTTCAGCGCTGTCTGAATCTGAATCTTCATCACTCTCAAAGTTGATTATTAAAGGTTCGATGTCTGGTCGATCAAAAATTCGTTCTCTTTCATACCATTTAAAAATTTCTTGCTCAGTATGTCGAACACTATTTTTCCACATGTCTGGGGTAACCGTTTGTAGAGCCTCGTTCCACATATCCAAACAGTCTTTTTCACTGTTACCATCTCTACCAATATGTCTGTTATAGTAACCTTTTGCTATGCCCCAAATTAACTCAATAGGGTTAAATATACAATGGTAAGGAGGCAGACGAAGAACTTTGTGCCCATGTTGTTCCGCCAATTCATCAATCACGTATATTTTAGGTGGTTTGTTTCTAAAAAAGCAGTTATTTTAAGAATAGGAATAAACAAAAGAAATATAAACTGTCGACCAAAATATATATAATTAAGAAGCATTATGTACCGAGCAACAATACTCAATAGCTCTGTTTTAAACATTGTGTTTAAAAATGGTATGTTTTGATTTGTCAACCAGTCTTGGATATTTTTTTTTGTCCATGCATTGTTGGGCACTTTGTTCAATATCATGCTGTGATAAGGGGCGTTATCCAGTATAATCATAGATGGACTCTCCAATTTTTCTAATAACTGAGGTTGAAACCATTTCAAAAAATTGTCCTGGTTCATCTCTCCATGGTAATCGCTCAATTTTGTTTTCGAAGAAAATATCGCTTCACTACCCTCAATAAACCCATTTTCATTTCCAGCATGTAATATAATGTATCTAAAATATATTAGTTTTAAATTTTATAGTGCAAATTGTGTAAAAGTACATACCTTTTACCATCTGTTTTAATAGCTTTCACGCTTTTTTGGTTTCCATTTTGCCAAGACCGACCTATGGTCCCATTTTGAAATATCCAAGTTTCATCGAGGAAGACAAACTGGTATAAGGCCTCAACCTTGGCTTGATTGTATTGCCTTAGAAATTCCACCCTTTTCAAAGCTATACTTGGTAGTTCCATGAGCCCTCGTCGCGGATTGTCCTTAAGCCACTTAAATCCAAGATCTCTAAGCAACCGCCTTAAAGACGTGGGACTACCATCAAATAATGCCCTATCTCTTAATCGAGACCATAAAGTTTGTATCGTAACTTGTTCTTCTGAAACCATGTGTAATATGACATTATAATTTAGTTAACAAATTAATGCAAATTTCTGATAAGTTATTATAATAAGATCTTACTTTTGTGATACATATTATAGATCACTTCTCGAATGGCACTTGTATCCAATGTCGCTGTGTTGGTTACACGTTTAATATAACTCCGCTTTTTCTTGGGCGATTCTAAATTTGCATCACTTTTCACACCCTCGGAAATACGACTAACTGTCCTTAAACTAATTTTTAAAGCAGCAGCAACACGCTACAAAAAATGAAATAAAATTTCACTATTATTAATATACATTACATATAATTATTAAGTAACCTACCTCTTGAACAGCATTTAAAGGCAACAAAGGCCCGTTGTTGTCCCTTTCTTGCTCAAAGTAGTGCATTAACGAGGCCACGAGTTCCTTACACCGACTATTTAACTGTTTGGGCATCTTTATATACCAAAATTGCCTTTATCTACTCGTAAAATGAATAATTTTGTTTTGAAACAAACAGTTGTTGATTTACAGTATGCGGGGCCAAAGGATTTATAAAGATTTGAAATGCCACAAATTGATTCAGTGTCAAAATTAATACAAATGTCAGTTCCCAGTTTAAATAAGTTTCAAGGTGACAATGTGTCAACGCTGCGAAATCGGTTTAGTGCGTTTACATGTCGATAAGTGATTGGAGCGTTTGCAAAACATTTTATTTCGCATAATGCGTCTAAATTTATCAGAAAGCAACTTATGTGATATTTTAATAACAATGTTTATATGACTATTAACCATAATAAGAGAGTAATGACCATTTTACAATTTATATATCACATTAATATGAAACTGCAATAGAGCAATTGTTTGTGATAGAAACCTAGGCATTAGGTCGGGGAATTTTTATCGTGATGACGTGCACGCCACTTTGTTTGGCGTTGACTATATATTCCACAGCAGAAAGAGTTTAAATTATCGAAATATTTTTCGGAAATAATCAGTGCGCTAATAGAACAGCAGAAATATTGAATGAGCAACATGAGAACAGTAACGTGCATCGAAAATATGTTCTAGAACTCGTATCTAAATTTCGGGAAACTGGGTCAGTCGCCAATAAAAAACGCAACATTGAAAATCCCATAAGGAACGAAGCAATAGAAGTGGGGGTTTTAGGACAAGTTTATGTAGATCCTACATTAAGTACCCGCAAATTGGAGACTGTGTGTGGTGTTAGTCGACGTGCTCTCCAACGGATTCTAAAAGCCCATAGTTTTCATCCATATAAAATTCACCTGGTACAAGAACTTAATGAAGACGATTTTGATCGGCGATTACAATTTTGTGAAGATATGAGTGAACGAATTATAAACGATGAACATTTTCTATTCATCGCTTGCTTTTCCGACGAATGTTCCTTTTTCTTAAATGGCGTAGTAGATCGTCATAACTGCCGATATTGGTCCGATTCTAATCCCAGAATTTATCATGAGGTTCATACACAGCAGCCACAAAAATTAAATATTTGGGCTGGTATTTTTGGCGATCATTTAATTGGTCCTTTTTTCTTACCTAGAAATTTGAACGGTGAAATGTATTTGGAATTACTAGAAGACGCCATAGATCCTGCATTAACAGCCATAATTGAAAATCAGAAGAATAGGTTGATGTTCCATCAGGATGGTGCCACACTACATTACGCATTACGTGTTCGACAAGATTTCCAAATCGATGGATTGGTAGAAGAGGTGCCATTGAATGGCCCCCAAGATCGCCAGATTTATCACCTTTGGATTTCTTCATGTGCTGTCATTTAAAAAGCAAAGAAGACCTGCGACAAAGAGTAGTGAATGAGTGCCTTCAAATTACCCCTCAAATATTGCAAAATGTGCGGCAACGTTTTGAGCAAAATCTTTATTATTGCATGGAGAGTCATGGTGGCCATTTTCAACATTTACTTGCCTAACGGGCCAGTTCATTCTTCATTTTTAAATTACTTTGCAGTCAAATGTATTGATCTCCACTAATGATGATGTAATAGTTTTATTTAAGCTTTAAATCAATAAATCTTCAAAACTACTAAACTGAAGTACATTAATTTTATATCACTATAAAAAGAATTGAAAGGCCTTTAAAATAAGGTATCACTCGACCCCCCTTTCCATTTAAGATTTTGGGGGTGGTGTCACCCCCGCTTAGGGCGCTGCACGTGCTAACGTGGTTTTTTGCCAAACTTGTGTCCCCCTCGAAAAAAAAATCGACGGGTCTGTTTCGTTTTAGATGCGCCACCCTATATATCTGTTTATTATATATGTATGTTAGTGTGGTATGTATGGGCGTGTTCTAGTTTTAGTGTCTACCAAAAGTTTACTGTTAATGAGATTGTGTACAATTGTAGCCACAAACTTAGTTTTTTTATTGTTTCAGCCTAAAGCGTACGAATTTGGATATCAAGTGAAAGATGAATACACCGGAACGGATTACAACAGGAGAGAATCTAGTGACGGCAACCAGGTAAGCTTATAATTACATAATTTGGATACACCATCTACGATCTAATTCTTGAAAGTTGCACTCTACATAATATATGATTTTATCTAAAAACAGTATCCTCATTTAAAAGTTACGTCATCGCTGATATCCGTATCTGTACTAGATCTTGGCTAACGATGCACGCCGTAAATTGAGAACTAAAAATTGTTATTAATCGACTAAGAGCACATGAAGGTATTACACATGTATTAGTAAGCTTTGCATCAGCTTTATATTCGATAGCGTATTATACATTCATTAAATAGATCAAGCTAATCATTTTGAAATACCAATCCGTTCGTTTACGTCAGACATGCCCAACATTTTTAGGAACGTGAAAAAATAGCGTTGAGTAGATTGAGGCTATGCTTCTCAGGAATCTTACAACTTTTAGTACAATTTTCCTTGAAGTACGATGACATCAAAAAACAGGTTTTGTCAGAACCATTAGTGCATTATTTGGGCTTTCACTGGAGCTCTTGATACGTACCTAGACACTATATATACTATCATATAATAGTATAACCTCACGAAATCAAGTCGCCTCATTAAATTATAGTCCAAACATAAAGCTCTTATATACAGGGTGGCCCATCCAGGTGTGGACGGAATATTACTCATAAACAAATACATTTTGGGAAAATCTATTTATGGCTTGTTATACATGACATTTGAGGGCATATTTCTAAAATAATGGCAATTATACAGGGTGTCCCAATTTTGACCTACACATCAATGTTGTGATTTTTTAAACGGAATGCCTCAAATTTTATTGCATATTTGGTTAAACCAATTCAAAAGAAGAAGATTGATATAACATACTATGGGCTTTTGGTAATTAGCTACTGAGATGTAAGGTGTTTTGTCCAGAAAAACCGTTCACTTCGGCAACCCCTCAATTCGCCATTTTGAAATTTGGAGTGCTGAATTTTGTATCAAAAAAAACTTACACACCTCAACTTTTATCTTACTTCTTACTTTCTCGAATTTTCTTTTTTGCTCATACAGAGTGGCCAAAAACGCGAATTGTACTTTTTCTCAGAAATTTCAAATGCATCGCCCTATATATTTGTGCAAGTTTGGATTCAATTTTTTATAAGCTTTTTTTTGTATAAGGTTTGATTCAGATAAAATCACTAGATTTTGAGTTATTAAGCGTAATAGAGAAAAGCAACTATACGGGGGATGTCTTTTAAGTTTTGCATATGGAAATAAAACAACACGGTAGGTAGTTTTAAATGACTTTATTGTTTTTCGAAGTATTCTCCAGGAAGATTAATACACACCTGCATGCGCTCGAACCAATTTTCGAAGCACTTATTCCACTCGTTTGCTGGCAGATCCAAAACGGCATTTTTGAATGCGTCTACTGCTTATTCTGGTGACTGGAACCTTTGACCACCAATTTTCGGGAAAGTAAAGAAATCGTTAGGACTTAGATCGGGAATATATGGAGGATGGTCCAATAATTCCACGTTTTCTTCCGTTAAATACTGCCTTGTTTTTGGGGCTGTGTGCGAGCTTGCATTGTCTTGGTGGAGGATGATTCTTCTTTCGGGGTTGATTTTTCGAAGCTCGGTGATGACTTTTGGCAAACAAATGGTGGTATACCAATCCGCAGTAACAGTTCTTTGCTCATTAAGAGGTATTGTTGCAGTATGACCCGCTTTTGACACAAATGTCGCGACCATCTTTTTCGAAACACTTCCAGAATGGATGACTTTTGTTGACTTTTTTTCACCTTGGAACACCCAAACAGCCGAATGTCGTTTATTTTCTGCCTCATAACAGTAAATCCACGATTCATCACCACTAACAATGCTGTACACATTTTTTGAGTTTCCGGAATTGAAAAGATCAAGCTTTTTTGACACCAGTTAACCCTGGCTGCTTTCTGCTCTTCAGTCAACAGGTGGGGTATCCAACGAGAAACTCATTTTCTTACTCCTAATTCTATATGTATAATTTTTTGAATTGAGGTCTTTGAGATCTTCAAGGACGCCTCAATCTCGCGATATGTCACATGTCTATCTTCAATGATGACTTTGCGCACAGCATCGTCGTTTTCCTGGGTGACTGCCGTTTCTGGTGCACCCAGCCTGGGATCATCGCTAAGACTTACCCGTCCACGTTTGAATTCTCCATACCATCGGGAAATTGTCGACTGATGTGGCGCTTCCTTGCCGAAAACAGACAATAACTCAGCAAGGCATTCTTGTTGCGATAATTGTCTCTGAAAGTTGTAATAAATTATGGCGCAAAAATGTTCTCGGTTGAGTTCCATTTTTCTAATGACTTGGTGACACTTAAAAATTCACTGTAGTCAGAACACTGCACATATTGTTGTGAAACTTTGAATTTAAGTTTACTAAAAAGTGAGGTTAAGATTCAGTACTGACGTTCGATCCGCGCGACCTACTATGTTTCTATATGCAAAACTTAAAAGACATCCCTCGTTGAATTAAAATATACAATAAAATTAATGGCATTCCATTTGTAAAAATCACAAATTTGATATGTAGGTCGATATTGGGCCACCCTGGGACACCAGTGTTTTAGAAATGTGCCCTTAAATGTCGTGTATAGCATCCCATAAATAGATGTTCCCAAAATGTATTTGTTTATGACTAATATTCCGTCCACGCATGGATGGGCCACCCTGTAAAGATAATATCGCGCTCACCTCGTATGTGCAAATCTCGTGACCGCGCCATCTGCTACCTGCTTTTTTCAGTTCCCTGGATTTACCATCAAAAAAGCTATATATACAACCCCGTGGCGCACTGCAAGTGCGATGGATAGGTAGACGATCCGTCTGCTGAAAATATTTAAGTTTTAAGGATAAACGTACGGGACAATCTACGATGAGGGAAATATAATGATAACAATAATAGAGTGACTGTATCGGTAATCTTCCACATCATGGCGGAGTTTAGCTTGATGGCTGCTCTTCCACTTAATCATAATAAGAACAATTACAGAACAGTTATGAAATTATACTATTTACCAACACTGCAAGCCAGAAAGAAAAGAGTAAAATTAAAAATACAATCGAATGAATAAGAATAAAATAATAACAACATAATGGCTCAAGCATTGAGAGATGAATCCATCTCTAACAACTGTTTTCTTACCAAGGCAGGTAAACTTTTTCGTTTGTTGAACTGATTGAATTGAATAACTGAACGGCATTGTACGTATAACATCTTTCATGCAATGAAGAACGGTGAAAAGGAATATCATGTATCATCTTGTAATTAAATTTCTACGAGGAAGTAAGTTACTTCCAAGTACATAGGTGTATAAGAACCAACATGAAAAGCTCTTAGATGTCACCCTGCTGTACCTTCGAAGACCGAAAACAAAACGACAGCAACAGTTTTGAATGTTCTGCAATCTGGTTTTTGTTATGGAGTCAGGGCAAGGATAAAATAGAATGAAACACTCAAGCAGTTCGGAGTTGCATAACCAAACTCTCAGGAGCCTCAAGCTTGCATATTTTACTGACGTGGTGATGAAATCCTAGATTTACGTCAAAGGGACATAAACCTCTTGCATGTTTGACCAGTAAAATATGGACGTTATATATCAGGTAACCAAATAAGTTCATGCGGTTGCTGTATATCGCGCATTTCCATGGATGTTGTTAATCGATAGCGATTGTTTGTTACCTGTTGTCACATTAGAGTGAATCTTTCTTTCCTTACACACATAAAAAGTTGCTGAAAATTGTTACATACCTAGTTTTAATAACTAAAAATGGCGACGAATAAAACAGTAATTCGAAGTTGTTCACTCTATGAGTACAAACTTGGTACAAAAGCTGCAGCGGCGGCGCGAAAAATATGTACCGCATTCGGAGATGATGCCGTTAGTGATCGTACAGCACAGAAGTGGTCCAAAAAATTTTCTTCGGGATATCTGACCTTGAGCGATGAACCGTGCTCAGGGAGACCAAAAATCATGAACAACGAGGATCTTCGACGGATTGTGGACGCAAATTCAATGACAACGTGCCAAGAACTTGCAGAAATGTTCAGAGTGAGTCCTGAAACTGTTCGTTTTCATCTTCATCAGCTAGGAAAGACGTGGAAGTTAAGCAAATGGGTCCCACATGAACTGAAAAACGCTAGTTGACCATCTCTTAGTCGGAGAAACCTGCGACGAAAAATGGATCTTGCATTCGAATTCTAAGTGTTCGTATCGTTGGTTGTCGCCTACTGATTCGGTACCACACACGCCCAAGGCTTCCTTGCACCCAAACAAGGTATTTGTTGTTGTTTGGTGGATAGCAACTGGAATTGTTCATTATGAGTTTTTGGAAAGGGGTCAAACCACCACTGCTAACTTGTATTGTAAGCAGCTCCAACGAGTACAAGCAGCACTCATCCAGAAACAGCCTTCTTTGATCAATCGGAAGAAAGTGGTATTCTGCCGTACTGCAAAAATGACCCGAGAAAAAATTTCTGAACTCGCCTGGGAAACGTTACCGCACCCGCCATGTTCTACCGACATTTCGCCCAGTGATTATCACCTTTTTTTGTCTCTTGACAACTGTATGAGGCACCGACAGTTCACAACGATGGTGTAATAAATGCAGTTCGCCAATTTTTTGACACCAAATCCAGGGAGGTCTGCAATACCAGCATACAAAAATTGGTTCCACGTTGGCAAAAGGTCATTGAATGTGATGGTAGTTACTTCGACGAATAAATAGTGTCTTATTCTTTCTCAATAAAAATTTATATTTTTCTACTAAAAACCGCACAAACTTATTTATTTACCTGATAGTATACACTCAAATCGTCTTTTCAAAACGTTCATAGTTCATTTTAGGGCAGAATAAGCTTCAAACACTTGACCTTGCAGCAGATACTTTTGTTCACCAGGTGTAAATTAATTTTATGCGATACTTGACACACACCTACAACCTTCCACCCCCAATTTGTCCTCTAAAAAATTTTCAAAAATGATCACGACCTTCTAGAACGTCAAAAAACTAAGTTTGAGCAATATTTACCTTCTATTATATTCTGCCAGTAGCTCCGCCGCCACTGGACAGATTTTAAAAAACTACAAAGTTTTTTTGCACACTAGTAACCTTGTGTAAAAATTTCATCAAAATCCGAAGTTGTGGCGTGGAAAGTAGAAAAAACGGAATTTGGCCGCGATTGGAGCGTTCATGGATTTCGGCATAGCCTTTAGGCCGTATCGTCAGTCATTCCTACAATTGTAGGACGCCTTCATGGCCTCCTTGATTTTCATAGTTTTTTCTCTCCTCCAGAAAGGCTGGGTATCTCTAGTTTTCTACTGTTCCACGTCAGTGTCAGCGCTCTGATATAGTTAGGTTATGTTTCCTTTTTGAGTCTTAAGAAAAGTCAAGTTTTATCAGACTGAAATTTCTTAGTATTCAAAAGTGAATATAAACTCAAAATAGAACGCTGAAACGAAGCAGTAGAGATCTCGAAATACCCCTGCCTTTCTGAAGGATAGGAAAAACGATACGGCCCTTAGAGCTTGAAACCTGATTGTATATCGTCTGATTCTTATAACCGCCAGGTCCGAGGCGAGTACCGTGTGGCGCTCCCCGACGGCAGACTCCAAATAGTAACCTACTGGGCGGACTGGCAGAGCGGCTTCCACGCTGATGTGCGGTACGAAGGCGAAGCGCAGTACCCTGATCAGTACAACAAGGGGGGTGCGGGCGGATACCAACAGGGAGGGTACCCGCAAGGAGGTGCTGGTGGATATCCGCAAGGAGGTGGAGGTGGGTACCAGCAAGGCGGATACCAGCAAGGAGGAAACAACGGGGGATACAGCGGTGGCGGAGGTAAGGTTATCTTTTTAGATATTTATAATGATAATGGACTTTATTTCGTACGAAAGTACAAAAAAGGCTAAGAGTAGCGTTTTTTAGCTCAACCTAAGTAAGGGAACACCTTAGTATTCTGCTATTGTTACAGGTTAAATAATCAAAGAAAATATCTTGAACGATTTTTCATCTATTTGTCTTCGAAGAAAAAACAATACTAACAACAAAAATCATTATACAGTCGACTCAATTATTCAGTTACTTTGGAGTTTTCTTGTTCTCTAGCAAAACACTTAGTCCACTCCCACTCAGGTGAGTGACTGAGTAAGTCTCTCATACAAACGCTGGATTCTTTGAAAAGCCGATCATGCAGATAGTATGAATTTGGAATTTATTATTATGCTCGAGGTGTGGATGGCTTAAAATCCAAAACAAGTTGGTGGCTTACCTTTTACCAGTTCTTTCCAAATTATTAGAAAAAACAATCTACAAACAAATCGTAGAGTTTACTTGTACTAACAATACGTTGCCTGAGGAGCAGTTCGGCTTTCGAAAAGGACGTAGCGCTGTTTCTGCACTATCTGTTATTGTTGATGATATAATCTCTAATTTTGATAACAAACTAGCAACAGTTCTTGCCTCTCTCGATTTTAGTAGGGTATTCGATCCCGTAAGCCATGATACTTCTAGCCAAGTGTTCTTATCTTGGATCTGATAAACCGGCCTACATTTCCTAGCGTTATATCTTAAAAACAGACAGCAATATGGTGGTTTTGGGAACAAGCTTTTCAAATTTACGGAAGGCTCTTTCAAGGGTACCACAAGGTTCAGTCGTAGGGCCCCGCTTGTTCTTAATATACTAAGTGACATATAAATCCGAACACCCAGTTTAAATGGTTTTATTTTAATAAAAGTTGGTGAATGTATTTATCTTACTGTAAATAACAAGTGAAAAAAATTTCAGCCTTATCAGTTGGACATTCCGGTTTTTATACTGCTTTTTTTTTAATTCACTAACGCTCTAAAAATGAATATTTCAGCCGCAGTAAAGAATCAACGTTGGCGGATTTTGGTTCTTGACATCCTTTACGATCGGTTACGATGCCTAGAGTACGGAGACCTGTACGATTTCGTCAACTTAGTGAGTTTGATAGGGGCCGTATAGTGGGACTTCGGGAAGCTGGACTTTCTTTTCGGGAAATTGCAGTTAGAGTGCAAAGAAGTGTAGACACTGGGGTTAGGTGTTGTCAGGCATGGCTTCGAGAAGGCCGTACGCAAAGAGCAAGGGGCACTGGACGCCCCCGTAGAACAACAGACCGTGAAGATCGCCGCCTAAGATTATTGGCCTTGAGGGACCGTTTCTCCACTACCAAGTCCATTGCAAATGAATGGTTTGCAGAACACGGAAGACCTATTGGCATGCGAAGTGTTTACCGACGAATGAGAAGTTTTGGCTTGTTTTCATACCGGCCACACTGGGTCCTCCCTTTAGCTCGAGAACACCGATGTAATCGCCTTGAGTGGTGCAGACAACGGTCACTCTGGAATCAGGAATGGAACAGTATTGTCTTTAATGACGAGTCTCGATTTTGTTTAGGCTTGCACGATGGTCGTGCCAGGGTTAGAAGGCGACGTGGTGAAAGGAGGAATCCACAGTTTTTTGTTGAAAGACATGTTCATCACACTGTTGGAGTTATGGTTTGGGGTGCTATAGCTTATGGTTCCAGGTCACCTTTAATCTTCATCACAGGTAACATGAACGCGCAGCGTTATATCCACGAAGTTCTAGAACCCCATCTTTTACCCTATCTTGACACCCTGGCAGATCCAACTTTCCAACAAGATAATGCCCGACCACATGTTTCAAGAGTCACAATAGACTTCTTTCAACATAATGATGTCACATTGTTACAATGGCCACCTAGATCTCTCGACTTATCCCCAATTGAGCACGTGTGGGATATGATGGGTAGGAGATTGCTCAATTTGCAACGTCCTCCTCAGACTCTAGAAGCACTTCGAGAGGAGTTGGTGGTTGCCTGGAATGAGATACCACAGGAGAACATTGCCAACCTGATCAGAAGCATGCCTAGGCGCGTTGGAGAATGCGTAGCACATCAGGGTACATCCACACACTATTAAAGGTCAAAGGGCTTTAAAGCAGTGCAATCATTTTGAAATTTTTATCATTTACTTATTATGCTTCATTAAGTACGTATAAAAAATTTTATTAAAATAAAACCATTTAAACTGGGTGTTCGGATTTATATGTCACATGTATATATACATTTGATTTGGTGGTCATCATTAAAAACTCGAGTGTAACTGGTTAGGCCAATGATACTCAATCATTGTTAAGCTTTCCACCTAATGATTTTAAAATAACTGAGGATTACATTAATATTGATCTCGAAAGTATTAATAACTCTTCTGCTATTAACAGCATGCAACGCAATCCTCAAAAATCAATTGTTGTAGTATTTTGTAAGAAAGATAGACGCCGACATCTAAAAGCAAGCCTGAACCTGATAATAGGCAGTATAGATTTAAAATTTAATGATGTAAGTAAGTAATACTTTTTCAAGATCGATACCCTGTGTGAAGAAAAGTCTGCACCCCATTGTCAATCTACTTTTTACAGAGCATGTCCTCTAAAAGCAGAAACCTTCTCAAGATCGTAGTGAATCACAAGTATCCAAAAACCCGTCGGTCTAAGAAAGCATAAAATTTCGATATTAGCAAAAAAAATAGTTTCTGTTTTCCACAGCTAATTGCGTGGACCTACTCGTATGATCTCAAATGAGCCGGTGTGATATTGTGAGAATAACTGGGTCATATATTTTATATTTATTCTAGGAATACTACAGAAAACTAGAAATACATATTAATGATAATGATAATGATAATGATAATGATAATTATAATTATAATGATAATGATAATGATAATGATAATGATAATGATAATGATAATGATAATGATAATGATAAGGATAATGATAACGATAACGATAACGATAACGATAACGATAACGATAACGATAACGATAACGATAACGATAATGATAACGATAACGATAATGATATTTATTCACTCAATGTACAGAGAGAACAAACAACATGAGTAAATAAATATGGAATCCAAAAAGGGCTAATAGAAGGCATAATGTTGAAATATAATAAAAATAGGTCAAAAATTGTAAAATACTATCTGGAGTAAATTACCTCACCATTCATTCTAGGGATACAAATTTGCAACGTTGCTCATCCTTTTCGAGATATAAGGCTAAGAAAAATGTTTTTACAAACAGTAGTAATTTTAAAACGACCATTATTTATCATTATGCGTCTCTTCCAAAGTCTTGAGAACTAAAGTTTGATTTTTCTGTTTGTTGTAGGTTACTCAGGAGGAAATGACGGTTACAACTACAACAGCAATAACAATAACTACAACTACAATGATGGTGGCTATAATCACAATACACCCAGCAATGTCTATGGACCTGTATAGTACAAAGTAGAGGAATAAGATAACAAATTTCATGTGGTGATGTATCTCATTCTTAGTTTAAGTATTTGATAAGGAGGGTGTGAAAATTGCCAATTATTTGTATTTTTTATAAATAAAGTTTGTCAATCTACTTACTAGCTCTTATAATCTCTAAAACATATCCTGTTTTCTGACTGGATATCAAGGTTCTTGTGTTGATGAAGGCTAACGTCAATGAAACCATCTTTTCTTCAACATACTGTTATACTAGAAAAAACGTCTGTTACTTTTCATTTGAGAAAATGTTTCCTTGTTTTGGTCCTTGAGTCCGTCGTGTCACATGAACCGGAAGCCAAATATTGTGAAGTAAGGAGAGGAGAGGAAAAGCAACTATTGCAAAAAGAGGGAAGGTATTGTTGATATGAGTAGATATGAAAGGGGGTCCAATTTTAGCGTAGATGTTGATCACAGAGTTAGGAAGTCCAGGAACCCAAGCTTGCCAGACATAACATTTTTGAAAGGCAAGTCATACAGCATTGGGTACTGTTTTTATGTACTTTGAACGTCTGCGTACGCGCAGGATACAACTTCGGCCAGTCGGCTTAAGCGGAGTGTCCCATTAGGAACTGACCTCCCTCTACTTTTAGGAAAGTATGTTTTATACAAAAGCTATAGAGTCTAATATAACGTTTCTGAGCAATGTGTTTTTTGTGTACAGGGTATTATGTAGTAGTATGTCCTGTTTAATAATATAATTGCATGCTATTTGGTTTTAAACAGTCATACGAGCGTCTCTTCCAGACATCTTACGATCCGGCACCTTCCCAGAAGACTGGAAATTTGCTCATGTTTAAGCCATCCCAAAACAAGGATCCTTACAACTACAGAGGAGGAGGAACTGTGCCACTTTTTCGCCTATAATAATCAAAGTGTGTATAACATATTTTTTGGAGGTTTCTCACACATTCATTAATTTTCGAATGCATCGTCAGATTGGTGCAACGCTAACGTGGTGCAACATCCTGTGTGCGTATTCTTCTTCTGTCGCGTGGGAAACCGACTGAAAGGCAAGAATAATATTGCGAATTATTTATTTATAGAAGATGAGACTGCGCGATAAACGATGAACATTGTTTTCGGTGGAACATATTGGCTCATCCGTTCCAGATGATATGGAGCAACGCTAATAATTATTATTTTGTTCTTGTTTCTGTGAGAGAATTAATTTGTGAAAAATTATCGGTGGGTTGAGAATGGCGTCAAGTAGGTTGTCTCTGCACTTCCCACGCAAAGCTTGATTCGTAAAGGATTTTGTTGGGCATGAGAAAAAAAGTAGCCAAGAACATGTATAACAAAAAAATTAAATGGATCGAGTTAGTCGGGGTGGGTCATACAATTAGTCCAGAATCTCCACCCATTCGACAACATTGCGATCTAGAAATTCTGTTTCTGCCCTGTCACAGTACCGAGAATCTGGCAACGTCGCTATGACTACCTTCGCCATTGGTCAGTCACCCATCGGTCCGTCACCGGACACACACCGACGCAGGTATAACCAGAGACGAGTGTGCTGAGAATTGTTATAATATTTCCTTAGCAGTACGTTATTTTATATATTACTCGATATAGTTGTTTATGCTAGAACTTATCGGCGAGACCTCGTATCCGTAACCTGTGTTTGTATGTGGAATGTTGGATGTCAATAGTACGGAGCGAGGGGTATTTGTTGAGTAAGTGAAGAATTAGACGTAGTATTAATTTAGACGTACAGTATATTCAGATAAGAGATAGACGGGACATAAACAAGACCACGTGATCATCGAACGCTGTAACATTCGGCAGGGACGTATTAAGAGTCGCGCAGTACATATTTTAGATAGTAGATGCTGCTTTGCGTAACTTTGTAGTAAATTAGCACAATTCGATGTGTATACGATTGGTGATGGATATAGGATCATGTGGGGGTGGGGTAAGAAATATATAATGATGTAAATATACATAAGGGTTTCAAAATTTTCGCTTCGATTTCCAGCTTCGGATGCCGCCTGATGTTTGGTGAAATACAGTCGAATATAATCTCAAAATGGCGTTTAAATTAGCCTAAATTAAAAATAATCGTATATCTCTTAAAATTGCTTTTAGAATATTGATTAGTATATTTTTTGGTTTCTAGGTAAATATGTAACCAAATTAAAACGTTCAAAACGTAAAAAATTTTGCATGGTTGAACATTGTCAGAAAGTAGATTCTTGAATAGGTTTTGCCAAAATGGGTTCAAAAATGTCAATAATTAATTAAAAAATACAGTAGCTTTATAATTACTTATAACTTACCGAATTTGATGAACGACATCTTTTATTGGAAAGATGAGCTTGATGAGCTTTCATCATCGCTACTGCCTGAAGCACGAACGTCAATAATGAATGGCTCGACTTGTTCCTCTAAAATATTGTCCAGTTCCCACATTCTCTTTTCAACTTTGTCTTTCACGTGCTTAATACAGTTTTCCCATTTTTGCCCTGTTATTAATTCTAGTGCTTCTTTGAAAAGTCCTTTGAGGTCACAAAATTTAAAAGTTGTATTGTGCTTAGCTATATAATTTTTAACCTCTGCCCATATGAGCTCAATGGGATTGAGCTCGCAATGGTATGGAGGTAAACGGAGCACAGTTTTATTTTGACTTGCTGCCATTTCGTCAATGGCGTATTTTTGATATTCCGCCTTGTGATCCTTGACAATCCTTAATAATTGTACTTTCAGCATTGCTTCTTCAAAGTTGATATTTTTCGAGCGGAGCCAATATTGAACATCAACTTTCCTTGAAGCCGTTGTTGGGACCTTCTTCATTCTTCAAGAATGATAAGGCGCATTATCCAACACACTTACTGCGTTTTCCTCTAAGTTCGGTAAAATTTTTGAAAACCATTGTTCAAACGATTCGCCATTCATTTCCTCGTGGTAATCTCCAGTTTTCTTAGACTCAAAGCACCACAGACCACCACAGACCGTCAACAACAAATCCATCCTCACTGCCAATATGGCAGATAATGAGCCTTTTCCCTTTACCTGGAAATCGAAGTTCTAACTGGTGTAGATTTATTTTAATAAGCGAACCTTTTTCAAATGTTTTCATCACATTCAGCGAAAAAAATTTAAAAGACGTGAGTATCAGATTGCTATAATTGGGATTATTTAGTCATATTGAAAGAAAGAATATTGAACGTCGTATGATTACTCAGCGCTTCACAATTTAATTTAAAGTTATAAACCTTTAAAAAATGAATGATCAGGAACCTGAAATACGCGCAAATATTAATATTAACAAATTATAACTTTATAAAGCTTAAAGTATGAATTAAAATGATTAGAAATAAATACGACATATTTTAAGATTATATTAAAAAATTATTGAAATATCGAAAACACATAAAAACATGGCTTAAAAAAGTTCTAACAAATGAAAATGACAATAAAACATCCACGCATTTTATCGAAAGTTATAAAAGTTTTGTTACTTGTAATATGTTTTATCTGCCCCCTGGAATTAATGTTTAGAACCTTGTTCCCAAGGTTTGAAAAACATCCGATTGTTGTCTATTACTCGTATTTACCTGCTGGATTTTTTAATCCGGTGGACAGTCCATCTAGAAAGGCCCTCCTGGATGAAGTTACAGAATCATCAACCCATACTTTACTTGTAGTGTGTCCTGCGTTTACCCTCGTTTCATCAAGGTAATAAATCTTCCTGTTTTGATTTCTATATTTCCCAATTTTTGTTAAATAATCCCTCCTCCATAGCACAATTTCTTCTCTATCCAGTAGTAAACTATTACGACCCCGTTTTTTCCATTTGAAATTTAAATGCTTCAGTAACGCATGGAAAGTTGATCGTTTGAAATTTGGCAACGTTGTATCTCCATTTACCTCCTGCAGTACTTTATCTATAGTAGGTATTTCATTCCTAAAGAAGAATTCATGCACTTCACTTCATGATTTAACAATACTTTTGCGATGTTTACTGGTCATTGGCTCAGAAAAGGTGTGATTTTTTTGTATTGTCTTAACACATTAAACACTGATGCGCGACACACCCCAACTTTGTGAGAAACCTTCACAACAATTTCTTTGATGGTTGATGCCTCGTTCTCCTCGCGCTCGATCTTATATATATTCAAAATGACCTCTTTCATTTCTGCACTCAGGTGTCTTTTTTTAGAGCGTTTCCTAGGTGGACTACAGGAGTTTACAACTTCATCGGCAGTATCTGTACTATTGGGCATTTTGCGCAAGCAGTTGATAACAATAACAATCAATAACAAGGTATAACAATAACAACGACAAACTCAACAACTTAATAAGATAACAAACGAAAACGTCCAAAGAAATATCAAATTGCAATGATGCACACGACATACGTAACACGTCTGAACCTGAATGTGACTCTGCCTTGATACGACTGCTCTGCCGCTCGGCATAGGCATTTAATTGCGAATTGACCAATGAGAGCTCCTGTTTTACGTCGAGACGGCGGCGTTAGCGTGAAAATCACCCGAACCTTTTGTTTACATCCGGTCTATCTCATATCTGAATAAACTGTAGTATTGAGCGAATGTAATTTCGGAATATATTGGAATAATTCGGAATACCCGTGTTTTCTTACAGAATATTTCTCTATATTCTGCCTTGAGAGCGAATGTAAGGAAGAACTTCAGTTGGAAATGTATAATATCGTCAGTCGTTTCTACAATTATATGACGCCTTTATGGCCTCTATGATTTTAATAGTTTCTCTCCTTCAGTAAGGTTGGGGTATTTCTAGATTTCAACTGTGCCGTGTCAGCGTCAGCGCTTTCCTATTTTGAGGCTGATAAAACAGATGATATAAATCAATAGCATGGGAAATTTGATGCAAATATATATTTGTCACAAAGCCTCAAAATAGAGCGCTGACACGGAACAGTAGAAAACTATGAAAATCAAGGAGGCCATAAAGGCGTCCTACAATTATAGGAGCGACTGACGATACGACCCTAAATATACCTCTCCAATAAAATCTAACCTACAATTCTTAACCACTAAAATTATTTTCTCAGAATTGTCTGAGCCTCTAAAACGTCAAACAATAAAGTTTGAGCGGTGTTATCTTTTTTTTCGTT